GTATTTTGATAATCCAGTGTACAGTACATGCAACAATTGACATACATTTGCTTCAAATATAGCAAATATGGTACTTGTAAATAAGACTGTTCTTCCATCTGGGATTATACTGTAAAACATGTCCCATTCAGCAGCCCTGTAGTTATATTAATTAACAATGACCATGATATAGTGCCTATAACATATGTAATGTAATTTGTGTGGCCTCAGATAGAGCTATAGAAGAGACTACCAGATATTCTCGTCCAAATCTGCACTTTGACCTTATATTGTTCAATATTTTGGAAATGAACCCTAAATTTAGAGCCAGCAGCCAAAATTTGAGTCAATTTTCAGTTTTCACTCAAAAAATTGGGCTATTTTTGTTCAAATGTTCTGTAGGAAAGTGCAGACTATAAACAGGATTTTTTTGTGAATTTGTGACAAAACGAATAATAAAATTACAATTGAATGCACAGTTGTTGAACGTGTTGAAATAACATTTTTACAAGAAGTTGGCAAAGCCAGACTCCATGTCGCTGACAAAACGGCAAGACAAAAATAGTGGATTTATGAGTAAACCATCCATTCATGTACTTGAACACTCATCCACACCTGGTGTATCCATCAAAACAAGACTTTTATTCGAGATGGATTGTCAACAGCAGTTAAACAACAAACAAACAAACAAACAAGCTAACTAGTAATAGTTCTGATAAGTAGAATAGAAACTAGACTAGGTAAGAATAAAACACTGGGTAAAAGCAGAATTACACAGCTCACATCTGCCAAAATAATCAAATGTCTTTATCCACATTTTGTCTACTAATAAAATGCTAACCTCAGATACACAAGTAAGTTACCAGTCACAATACTACCCATTCAGTAAGGAGTATGATGCATGTAAAATAACTCTTTTTTCATGATACATTTCAAAATAACAAAAATATTCAAACCAAATCTTAAAACAAATGCGCCATAACGATATGCATATGATGATTATAATAATTATATTGAAATTATATCCATTTGCAGTTGTGATCATCATGCATATGAACAGCAAAGAAGATTTGAAAAACAATTATTTTTTCACAACGATGTAGCAGTGCAAGAAATAAATGGTTGCAGCAGCACATAAATATGTGTCACTGACGATGGTTTGCATTCATTACTACAACATCCGACAATATTTAGCTGCACTTTCCTTTTATTGTCATGTCATACTAATATGAATCAGTTTATACATAAACTATTCATCATCAAGACATGATTTCGGTTTGTGCTGAGTGTTCAGGCAGCAAATCTCGGCACATGCAGAGTTTCGGTCTCTAGCATTTCGGCACATGTCATCTCAGTCCCCAGTCTAGGCACGTATCAAGATCTCTAACGTGAACGCCACTATTGCGTTTGAGCTCTAGTGCATAAATAACAGAGGCAGCAAGAGTGCTTATGTATGATTTACTGTATAGAGCCAGTTTGGTTAATTTACAATGAACAACAATAGAAGCTGGTAAACAGTGCCTACCTCATATCAACTTGGCAATGAAACAAGAATGCAGAAATTTCACAAAACTTAATTTAGGACCCTCAGTAAAATTGGAAAATCCAAAAATGTTTCTTTTAATAGAGTACACATGATTCAAGCAGTATTTTTAGATGAAATCACAAGATTTTATCTTGCCAAATTTTCTTAAGGTGAACACTGCTTTGCTCTACTGCCCGCTTATTCTGAGAAATTCAAAATGTGTAATCTACAGCTGCAGCATAGTGAAAAGAATCTATGCAAAAATGAACAGCATTTACTAACAACTTTAAACCAACTGTGAGAGTGCTACATTTGTTTTACCAATACACTTGATAATAAATGTTATTGAATATATCAATATTCACATTAACAGAATCAATTTAGGAATTATTGACTTGTGTTTTTTCAATCAAATAGTCTTGTATTTTTAATAAACTGAGGGTGACAATAAAGGACGAATGCTATGATTGCTTCAGATAAGATTCCAGATATTAACTCACCTCATAAGGAGGACCAGCATGAAATTTTAAAATTGAAAAATCTCTGTTGTCTTCACAAGAAGTAAGTGTATACTCTGGTGTGTTTCGTTTGTCAATTAAATCAGGGTAAAAGATCTGTAAATCAAAAATAAAATGATGAGGAATTTGTACGTGTGTTATGTAACAACTGCCCACATTAAAGATTCAACTGATTAGAGGTAATTCCATGGCAGACAATACAGGCACGGTGCACACACAATACGTGTGTGGAGGTCATTCAGTACCTGACACAGCAGGCATTGTGCGCAGATGATCTCGTAGTTCGTTTGTTTCGTCACCTCGGGTACTATAGAGCCCCTCGTGCCTGCCTAGACTGCTATACAATGCCACAATTGACAAGTCTCAGAACAGTTTTTATAGCCCCTACTTGAGGACCGGGGAAGATTGGTGAAAAGTTGTTTAGACATGGAACACACATGATCTATGTGTGTGGAGGTCATTCAATATGTGACACTGCAGACATGGTGTACACATGATCTATGTGTGTGGAGGTCATTCAGTATGTGACACTGCAGACATGGTGCATAGATGATCTATGTGTGTGGAGGTCATTCAGTATGTGACACTGCAGACATGGTGTACACATGATCTATGTGTGTGGAGGTCATTCAGTATGTGACACTGCAGACATGGTGCATAGATGATCTATGTGTGTGGAGGTCATTCAGTATGTGACACTGCAGACATGGTGCACATATGATCTGTGTGTGGAAGTCATTCAGTATGTGACACTGCAGGCATGGTGCATATATGATATCTATGTGTGTGGAGGTCATTCAGTATGTAACACTGCAGACATGGTGTACACATGATCTATG